CACACACACACACACACACACACACACACACACACACACACACACACACACACACACACAGATGTGATGAAGTACAGCTCAGCCAGCAGCTCACCTGCTCAGGTAAATGCAGCGGACCTCACCTGGATGAAGACGTCGCTCTGACACAAGGACGAGGAGCCGTTACAGAACTCAGGCAGGTCACACTCATCTGTGCTGGCGCGACACACGGTTCCCCCCGGCAGGAACTGAACGCACAAGCACACAGTTACAGAGCCCAACACACACGCACAGTGTGTGTGTGTGTGTGTGTGTGTGTGTGTGTCACGAGGCTCGCTGTGTTTACCTGACAGTTGGAGCAGCACTCGCCGTACGCACACTGAGCTCCAGACTTCAGCTTACAGGTCCGATACTCACAGCAGGGGTCCTCCTCACACTCCTGCACACACACACAGACACACACGTGGTCGATCACGTGACCGGGTTTAAACAGGAAGTTTCTGTCTCTGGCGTATAATCATTTTAAACGTTAGAAAATTGCACAAAGACGTGAAAATGACCCACAAAGCGAAACTTTTTTGTCTTCATTTTCTGTGTGCAGGAAAACTCAACAACAGTGACACGTTAATATAAAACAGGGATGTCAAACATAAGGCCCGGGAGCCAGCTGGTCCACCGCACAGCTGTGGAACATGTGGACGGCGTAGATGTTGGACTTCCCGCTGACGAGGAGCTCGAGTTGTGTAATAAATCACTGAATCTGGGCGGGCCCTGACTGCCAGGAGCGTCGCCGCTGTTTCGGCACACGTCGTATCAAAGTGGGTCAAATCGAATGTAAGGCACGTCTAACTCATCCTCTACACATCACACCTTCTCTGAGCCACAGTCGCACTCCTCCCCGAAGTCCACCAGCCTGTTTCCACAGTAGGGGGCGCTGTAGGCCTCGTCGGGCCGCGGGACGTTCAGCAGGCACGCCCCCCCCGTCAGCAGGATCATCTTCTCAAAGTCATCGGCGCTACAGCTGCTGAAGTTCTTTGACCCTCTGCAGAGAGGAGACGCGTTAGGAGTGAGTGTGAGCGTGTGCGGGCACGTGTGAGCGTGCGGCGTAGCTCGCCGTGTGCGTCTTACGTGGCTCCAGAGTTCATGATGCAGGCGCCGGTGGGACACGTGCACTGTCGGCCGTCGTCGTGGTTCATGCCGAGGTTGTGGCCGAGCTCGTGAGCCACGATGGAGGCGAACGAGACCACGAGGTTGTTGTTGAACTGAAGGACACAGAGCACAGTTCAGTCACGTCTCACTGAAATGCACCCTGGGAGATGGAGTTCCTTCTAAAGCTGTCATTAGGATCCAGATCTTTTATTTCTCTTTTTCCCAGACGTGCGATTCAGTGAAATCGACGCCACAGACGCAGAAACAATCATTTCAATGCTTTTGGTGTGTTTCATAAAACTGAATGTATTTAGTCTGCACGCATGGTGGCGTACCGCGTTGATCCCGCCTCCGTGACTCCTGGAGCAGACAGTGGAGACGAACGCCATCCCGGCTGTCTGTCCAAAATTCTTCCTCCTGCACAGACACCATCATCATCATCTGATACACGGTTCAATCACATGCAGTAACAAACAAAACAGAAACAGCGTGTGTGTGTGTACTGACAGGATGAGCTGTGCTGAGTCATGGCGGCAGCGAGGAACCAGCTCCTTCTCCCTCCACTGGGTGAAGCGATTCAGGACTTCTCCAGCCGCTCCGTCGGTGCTGATCTGGTTCTGCTGAGTCCAGATCTCCAAACCAACCAGAACCACCCGGATATTCAGCTGCATGTAGATCTGCACACGCACACACGCACACGCACACGCACACACACGCACGCACAC